GAGCACAAGGTCAGCTGTGGATGACTGTCCAGTGTCCACATATATGCGCTCCGTTGCTGATTCTTGAGACGTAACATGTGGCCTGAAGTGGGACCAGCTTCATCTATCAAGTCTATTGTAACCCTAACTTTGCCTTCTTCTTCACCGAAGCTGCTCTTCGACTGTTGTGTGCTGCTTTCAGTCATGACCAATCACTATGCCTACAACCCACATGTAGCTCACATCCTTGCCCTGCGGCAGCGTGAGATGGTCCGGCAGAGTTGGAGAGAGTGGCCCTGCGACCGAGACTTGCTACCTGGGTGCACTTGATAATTCCTTCCATCATACGAGTGGCCACATCCTGAAATCCCTATCTTGAGGGCTCTGCAGCACCCATATAGGAATCTGAACTATACACTCGGTTAACTGTAGTTGTTTTCACATTTTGCGGAGTTCGTGCCCGGGGGGGTGGGCTTGACAGCCAGGGTCCACAGGAATCCTTGACACAGTAGTGCGCACCCACTCCATGTTCTACACTGACACAGTGGTTAATGTGCAATGGCAGTGGCTTTGTTCATGGTTATACTGGGGTCAAGTCAACTTCTGGTTTGTCGAATGAGGAGGCACTGTCAAGAGTCCAGCCTCCTGATGAGCCGGTGAGAGTCCAACGAAGTGGTCTGTCGAGTCGTCATTTTCTTCAGTGGCAGGTGAATGGCTGTGTTTGGAGCACGCCAGCAACTTGGGTCAGGTAGTATGCGATATAGTGTATGATGGCAAGCTCCAACCTTCTTATGGGTCAAAGAACCTGATGAAACACGCTGCAGCAGCTTCTGTTTTCTTCTTGTGGGTGTATTTTGCCTCATCAGTCCGTTACTGTTGGACTAAAAGTGGTCCAACCACAGCGGTGTAGACAGGTGGTGTTTAGTGCGTATCTGTAGCACTGTAAACACATAGCCATCGAATATTATCTTTTATCAGTCGCTTTGCAAGTCCTGTTCATTTCGGAAGAATCTGGTGTTTCACGTTCATCACCAGATATAGGTATAATGATTCTCTCTTGTTTGCTTATTACTGGGTAGTTATTGATATATGATGTTATGCGCATTATTGCAATAACAATTTGTTTTCTGAAGTAGTGCAGATTTTTTTTTTTTTTTTTAATGTGGTCGGACAATGGATGAGATATTAAAGTGATCGGAACAGATACTATCATACTACACTTAATCTTAGCCAAAAGGTCGAGAAACGTATTAGTAGTGCAGATTTCATGTTGACAGCTGCACAGGCATGTGGAATGTCCGGCCACTGGTCTGGGGCCAGTTAATTATTATTTTGTGAACGGGCCAATGCTCAGAAGTATTGTATCCGTTTGATAACTTTTGATTCCGTCAGCATTCAGTGTTGTTATCTGTTTACTAACAGTAGCAGGTGTGTACGATTCAGTCACATGCGTCAGGTTTTTCTTCCTTTTTTCTTTTACTTCACTTGCTAAGCAAAGTTGCAGAACCAGGCTGTTCTTTGTTTTTTCTTTTACTCTTTAAAGTTTAAACAGAGAAATGGAACCTTATGGTTCTGGCTCCATTCTATTCTGGGGAGTAGCAATCCGGTTGCAGGTCAGTAGCAACATTGGAATGCATTCCATAGCCCCCCTCATTATGTCCAAGGGGAACCGTTGACGGTATTGATTACTTCTCTTGGGGAGGATTGGCTGTGAAAGTAGCCCAAGCATTGAACAACAGCCTCTTTGAGCCAAGAAATCTGAACCTCTGAATAAACACCCCCTACCTTCACCACCCGCGCCCCTCGCCCCCTCCCCAAACATTGTTCTCCAGCACTTCTCGAGATGCAAAACAGGCTGTCTGAGAGAACACTGCAAGCCCAAGAATTGTTTGGAGTTCAGAACAGCGAAAGATTATTTAATTTTCAAGGTGGTAAGTCTGGATACCTTATCAATATTTTTAGGTCCGAAATAATTTTGTGGATAAGAAAATCTGGCTGGAGCGCATAAAAGATACAAGCAACTTTTGGGTCAAGATCACCTCAAAATTCCTAACTGAAAAATCAGATTTTAAATTTGAAACTGAATCGATTCAAGGACCTTCCTGTAAACCCCCTCTAAACCCCGAATCTTGCCGCTTTAGTTTAAAGTTTAAACCCCTTGAACCCCAAAGACATAATTGTGTCTGTTTTATGTGCACAGCATGTCCTTTTTTTTTACATTGTTTTTATCAGTCCCGAAATCCGGAAAATCCGGATAGTTCACCCCCTGGATAACCTGGTTGGATAATCCGGCTGGACCTTTGTTACTGTCTAGTTTAATTATGTGCACTTCGGAAAAATCGGGTGGGAAAGAATTGTTGTGAAGCATTGCAGTAGAAAGATGTGGACATCTTTTAGTTGAGGTTCATTTTAAATTCTTTCAGAATTCTGAAAGTTCAGAACTAAATTGGTCTAGAACTCGAAAAGAACAATTGAAAAATGCTTAGAGGGAGAAAGAGAGAGTTTTTCTTACGCTGCCGCTTTGGCTGAATGGTACACCCATGATCTGTCGATAAACGAACCTAAGTTCAAATCTGCATTACCTGAGACAGGCCAGTTCGATGGTAATACCCCAAGGCTGTTGACCTTCATTAAACGCAAAACTTGAAAAAAGTAATAATGCATGTGCTTAATTTCCCGCAAGAGCACAGATCAGATCCAGACGAGTGGATGTATGTGGAGCCGGGTCAGATCTGGTCTAAGATGGTTTCCGGAGTCCAGTCCGGTTTCAGGACTCCGGTGTGGGTGACTGTAGTATCCACCCTTCCACCGTGGGTGGCGGTCCAAGATGGTTTCTGGGTTCTCGTGTGGCAGAACTATTCGCCCTTCCATCCTATCCTCTTCAGAAAGTGTTGAGATTGCCGATGCAACGTTGATAACTCATAATTTCCCTACTCTGTGCAAGGTCTTCTAAATGCATGTTGGAAGGGAATGATATGAGGAGTGCGACTCTGGACCGCAAACCACCACTGCTCCCAATGTCCACCGAGGGCTGCGGTGTGGGCTGGGAGAATATGAAAGAGGGGGAGGGGGGGGAGGGGGGGGAGCACGCCGGGGGGATGGAATTTTGAGTCTGCACTTCGGCGATTTCTAGTCGCATCTCTCTCAATCGAAAATCATGAAAACTTCACCAATTTTGGTAGGTGCCGCTGTGTGTGGGGAGAATAATAAAAGATTGAGGGAAGTACGTTTATGTCACATGGGAGTTTGTAATGGGCAGAAAAAACAGGCAGTCTGCAACTTTGTCATGGCCTGAGTTTGAAAAGGTGGTTGTAACTCAGGCCGGCAGTGGCGTCAGTCATTTTTTTTCCCCGGCGTTTGTTTTTTTTTTTCCCGTTTTCTTTTTTGCGACTGTGGCCCATCACGGCCATGGCCAGCCGCGGGTGTGGCCTAGACATCGCGGCCATGGCCCAGCCGAGGGTGTGGTCTAGACATTGCGGCCGTGGCCCAGCTGCGAGTGTGGCCTGGACATCGCGGCCGTGGCCGCACGGAGTGACGCCAGGGAAAAAAAAAAAAAAAACAAGCGCCTTAACAAAACTGCCACCCTGACACCACTGCCGGGCTGAGTTACTACCGCCTTTCGAACTCAGGCCGTGACAAAGTTGCCGACTGCCTGTTTTTTCTGCCTTTGCGAACTCAAAACATGCCGCGTCCGCTGTTGTTTCTAAAAGATTAGAAAAACCCAGCATTTTTCTGTTGCATGCCAAAACATTGCTAGCTCGCCACTGCGGTGACCCAGGAAGCCTGAAAGTGTAAGGTGTGGCGCTTCAGGGTTCCCAAACAGGTTCGGTAAAACAACAAGTTTGGGGAGATTGGTTGTTTGATGTTCATACTGCGATGCACTTGAATCTTCGGCTATTCTGTACTGTGACAGGATGCACTTGCATCTTGGGCTATTCTGTATTCTGACCGGATGGGTGTTGAACAAGGTAATCAGTAGTGGGTTGCAAATTGAGAGAGAGGAAGGAGATACAAGTACGGAGCTGTTGTTACGCCGGAGGAGTGTATAACTTGTTTGATAGAAGTCAGGCGGAGCCAGCAGGCCTGAAATCAGATAGATAGGGGAGGTGCGAGAGTAAATAGTACCCCGCTCTCGGGTCTACATCAGGGTTCACGCTCCCAGTTGCTCAGGCAGTGGCATGCAACAGCAGCCCCCAGGGTGCATTTCAAAATATCGAATGACGTTGGGTTCATCCCGATTCAACTTCTGGGTAATGAGGCACACTGAGTGCCAGATAGAAAAGGGTCTAAAGACTCTAAACAAGTCATCCAGGCTGGTTTGCCCCTCGACTTGAGGCAACCAATCAGCAGTGACTTTGAAAACTTTGCTATGTGAGTTAATCACTCTCTGGGGCTTCTTCACAACTCTGTTAACAGTCTGGACTGCTTCAGTGACGGGCCGCAACTTCTTTGCCCTCTCCAGTTCACATCACTACTGCAACACTGAGTTGGTCCAAAAGAGCGACATGTGTTAGGGGTTCCCCTTGTCTGGAGACCTTGAAAAGCCTGTTTGCAAGGTCACTTGTATTTGGGCCTGCGTACTCGTTCACTGCATGTGTTTCTTACTGCTACATTGCCCTCTTCTCCCCACTTCTCCCCACTTCTCCCCTCATGCATCTCACATTTCAAGTACTGCATGTCTTCTGTGTGCACGATAGAGTTGGACTTGCCGAGGTCAAGAGTGTGCCAGACTTGCCTTTTCCTCAGAGTCATAAGCGGGCCTCTACACTGCTGCTGGCCCACAACGCACAGCTGCTGATGGTCTCCTCCTTAAGGCATCTCTCTCTCCCTTCGCTTTGTCTGCCTTCTGCATCCATTAGCAGGTGTTCCGAGAACAATGTACATCCAGTCGTGAGGACAGGTGACGTAAAGTCGTTAGGGAAGGAACATTGCTGTGCACGCGGTTTTGTACTAGGAACTTGTTTGGTGAAGAAAATGTCATTGCTGACTCGTTAGTTGTGTCCTTCATGCACCTGCTGCAGTGCCGTATGAACCAATTGTCATGAGATGGACGGTGGAGCGATGTGCGGTTTGCTGGCAGGTGGATGAATATGATGTGAATAAGATCATTGTTTGTGATAGGTATGTGTGCCCTGGCCTCCCTTGCTGAGACAGTATCTGAAATCAGGTCTTTTCTTTTCGGTTGTCTTCCCTGTTTTCTTTTTTCGAGGGGTTGACCTTAGCGCTAATGCATCTCACGGAATTTGAGCTCTTCATTTGTGTATTGACAGTTAAATGACCAGTACTTTTTCCAGCCATTTTGTTCCAACACAGCTGTAAACGTGCTGCAGCCTTTGGGGTGTGGCATACCGAACAGAAATGGCTGGCGGTACCAGACAACAACAACAACAAAAAAAAATGCATCTGTGCCGGCTCATTTTTTTATCGCCGCGCTGCAGAAATCCATGTTGACATGATGTTGGGGAAGAAAAGGCTTGGAAGTAGTGGTGGTTTAAGTTACATGGTACTGTGTACGATTTGACCAGTAGGCACGCATGCAAAGCCATCTGCATATTTTGCTCAGTGATAGCATGTTGTATTGGCCATGGCATGGTATTCTTGATTAATGGGCACCAAAACTGAATAAATTTGATAAACCAGTTAAGTCGTTGCTTCCAGACTTGCAGGTAGAATAAATTATGTTGAGCTCTTGCACAGTTGGAAGTCAATCTAAAGCATCCGTCAAGTAGTGATGGTCCTGTGGTCTTCTCAGTATTCTGACAGCTAAGCATGCTGTACCGAATTGATACCGAGCTTCTGCCCAAAAGTCTGAAAATGATTCTCGTTTCGAGTTCGTACTAAAAGGTACTAACTGCCAACTTAAGAAGGAATTAGTGAAAGGACACGCTGTTCATGCTGGGGGGATAGAAGGATAGGATACCTGAGCTGCGAGCTGAATATGTGCAAGTTGTTTCCCAGTGAAAGATGTGTGCTTAGGGAGGGGGTAGACAATTGAGCTGGGCAAAAACCTTGACAAATCAAACGATAGGCTTATACCACCAGTACTTCCGTGCCACTTTGCCTTGGGCTCGAAATGTTCCGTGCCCAGAAAAAACAAACCGGCGCGGGGCTCGTTTTAGCTGGTGCCGCCAGGCATTTTGTTCCGACTGTCAACCCCCAAAAGTTGCCGCAGCATGCAAGGCGCGCTTGAGAAAAATGGCTCCGAAACGTACTGATGGTTTAATAACCCTATCAGTAGGCTATTACCAAGTTATTAGTGGTGTTTTGCTAGTTTTCTTTGAGATAGTAGAGATACTCTAGGGTACTATGTGAATTGTGGAACAGTCTTTCTATGCCGCTTGCTCAGGTCTGTACAGTTGTGCAGTCCTTGGGCGTTGAACTATCACCGCTGTTCCTCCCTCCAACTTAGGGTTTGAAAGTCCTTATGTCGGAAATGGCCTATTTTAGTCGGGTCTTAGTTCTCAGGGTCGTTTGAGATAATCACGGGTAGTTACTGTAGAATTATATATAGACAACGTTTTTCTTTTGAGATTGATTGTGTCCCTATGTAACACCCGCGGCCGCGGCCGCGGGCAATTTGGCCGTCGTGACCGAAAAAGTCGGCCGCGGCCGCGGCCAGGAGGCCCAGTTCATGGCCTGTTTTTTTGGATATTTTTTTTAGAGTCAAAAAATACGTGAAAAAAAAATAAAAAATATGGGGTTGTAGGGTTTGCAAAACCCTACAACCCCATATATTTTGTTTTCGAATTCGACCTAGGCTTCATTTCCATGCGCACGGGTACCCCTGGCACGCACGGATCGCTGCACGGCCGCACAGCCGTGCGGGTCCCCCGTACGGGCCCCGTGCGGCCCCACCGCGGTGTGCTTGGGGGGCAGTTCTGGGGACAGCGGGCCCGGTTTTAGCACTGTGCAAAATTTTTAAGGCCCCCCCGCACGTCGAAATTTTTTTTCGGCGCGTGGGGGGGCCTTAAAAATTTCAATCTTGGACTAGAGATCTCAGCTGTAGATCGTTGAAGATCTACGCCGGAGATTCCTCAAGGATAACCCCAGGAGGACCCGCACGTTTTCGCGGGAAGCGCGGGAAGCGAATGTAGTTCGAACTTCGAACTGTGTGGGCCTGAGGACGGGGGTCCCCCGTGTTGCCACTCCGGCCGCCATTTCGCCGTCGTCGCCGTTGTTGGTCAGGTCGCGCCATCGCCCGCCTCCCACGGCCGTAGCTGCTCCCCGACGCATCTTCCCGGGGCTATCGCCGCTGTTCTTCGCAGCTCCCCACGGCCTTCGCCGCTCCCCAGGGCCATTGCCGCTGCCCAGTGCTGTCGCTGGTTTCATGAAGCGAAGGTAAGTGGTCTGCTTCTTCTTCTTCTTCTTCTTCTTCTTCTTCTTCTTCTTCTTCTTCTTCTTCTTCTTCTTTGTTGAACTTCTCCACCCGCTCCATCCGCTCCTCCTCCTCCTCCTCCTCCTCCTCCTTCTTCTTCTTCATTCAGCTTCTCTGTGTGCTCGTCGCCATCCACTTCTCTCCCGCCACTTCGTTCGTTCTCTTCCGCCATCGTCCACCTCACTCCGTTCCCGCTCTTCCGCCATCTCCCGCCACCTCCCACTACCCCTCCTGCTACCTCCCATTACCCCTCCCGCTATCTCCCACATCCCTCCCACCATCCT